AATGACCTTGAAGATACTCTGAAATAGGATGGTTGTGTACTCCACAAACCACCTCCAACTTCCAATCATCCCCATCACCAATATTGACACTTTTTTAACAAGAATGGGCATCCACATTTCTTGGTACCAGTGTCCTTAGCACATTTTTTCATATCACTATTTGCATCCGACCTTATATCAGTTGTCTCACTAGACTTGCAAGACTTATAGTTACCGTTCCTCTCACAAGCAAGTATTACACGAGCTCTACTCTTGCCCTCACCTTCATAATCAGACCTTTTAATTACAATGACAATATTATTCAATTTTCCTTGTTCACAAGCCCATCGAAGTAATGCATCTCTACCATTGAATATCTACACATAAAACTCATGTTATTTAAATATAAAATTTGAAACATTAATGCTACGTTAATTATACCAAAAAGGATTTTAGACAAATAATTACCGAATAAGTTGTGAATTGATCACTATAGTCCATTACACATTCTGTTCTCATATTGTTGCCTTCAGTAGGGGCGTCACCTTGATTTTGTTCCTTCAATGAGAGTAATATCAAAATAGCTTGGATTAAATTTGTGGTCAGCAATAAGTTACTGAAAAAATAAATAAATTTCGGTTGGATGTCACTGAAACGCGGGTAAAAGTTTGGTAGTATACCACTGAACTACGTTCCATCTTACGGTGGATCCCCACCGAATATTAAGTTTCTCACCGGTGAAATTAGGGGTGGGCATTGGAACCGCAAAACCGTAAAACCGAACCAAACCAATCCGGAAAAAACCGAAAAAAACCGTGTTGACCGAAAAAGTCAAAAACCGAGAAAAATCCAAACCGAACCGGTTCAGACCGGTTCCGGTTCCGGTTTTTCACCCTTAGGAATCGGTCCAATCCGAACCGGTCCAATAAAATTAATATATATATATTTTTATATTATATTTGAAATTATATAAATATTTTTATACTTGGCTAAGTTTGATTGGGTGTCTACGCTACTACCATAGGCGCGCATCACAGAGGAAAAAAAAAGACGCTGACTGACTTAAACGACCTAGGTTTTTTTTTGTCTTCGTTCCTCTCTTCTTCGACTTCATTTCTTCTTCGTTCGTTCCTTCATTCATACAGACAGAACAGAGCTGCCCTGAGCCTTCTTCCAAACCTTTATTTCTCTCTCAGTCTCATCCACACCTAGCACCATAGCTCCAACTACTTTTCAATGTTAGGAGGAATTTAATGAAGTTGGATTGAATTTGGGTTGTAATGTATATTTGAATTGAATTTGGGTTGTATTTGGCTAGTAATTTATTTTGGAACTTATTTTGTTGAAGTTTGATTGAATTTGGGTTGTAATTTATATGTTGAAGTTGGATTGAATTTGGATTGCATTTTTTTTGAAGTTTGATTGAATTTGGGTTGTAATTTATATGTTAAAGTTGGATTGAATTTGGATTGCATTTTTGTTAAAGTTAGATTCATTTTGATGCGTTGAAAGCTTGATAGAACCTCAAATTTGAGGTATGTTAGTATATAAATTCATTTTGGGTAGGTTTGTTTATTATTATTAAAAAAACAAAAAAAAAAAAAAAAAAAAAAAACCGGAACCGTTGGATTCGAACCGGAACCGGACAGGTCCGGTTTGGTTCGGATTTCTGTATGGATATTGAGCAGAACCGGTCCAAACCGAACCGGATTGCACTATTGGATCAGGTTCCATTTTTCTCCAAGAACCGGTCCAAACCGAACCGTGCCCACCCCTAGGTGAAATCCAACCGAAAAAGGTGTAAAGTTTCGGTGGCATCCCATCGAAATTACCTGTCGACCCCACCGAATATTAAGTTTCTCACCGGTGAAATCCGATCGAAAAAGGTGCAACTTTTCGGTGACATCCCACCGAAATTATCTGTCGCGTTCGGTACTGATGTGCTGAACACAACCAGCGACTGTTATGAAATATTAAACTTGCAAAACGCCAAAAAATAAACTCGTACCTCATTCGAAGCGTCTCTAACTTCAATCTCACCCTTCATGAATAAATACAATATATTTTTTCACCAGTATAAACTTATAAATATTGGGTTTAGGGTTTAGAAACATGATAGTTTGAGAAAAAAGTCAAACTAGGGTTGCAGGAACATATGTGGGGTGTAGTAAGCAATTTTAATTTTAATTTTTTTTGTCCTTAACGGTAATTGTGTACAAGGGTAAAATAGGTTATTTATATTTAAAATTAGTATGGGGTGTAAAGAGCAATTAATGGGGTGCCAATAAAATCACCCTTTTAAAAAATATTTTTTTATAATAATTATTTTGTTTTATAAATTATAAATTTATACCAAAATTAATATTAAAAAAATGTGTATATGTGAGTCATATGATAC